GCGCGCCAAGGATTAGTAGACCGAAGGGCGCGCGCGCAAAGGCGGCCCAGGAGTGTTGAGGCGGCGAAGGGTTTGGGAAAGACTTGGAGCATTCTATAATTGTTTGGAGTGCAAGACAAGTAATTAGAAAATCTAGTAGATTTAGGATTTTTTGGTAGTAGGATATTTACTTACCTTAGGATTTAATATTTTATTGTTTTAATAGTTTCCTAGTAAGATTAGCACTAGAGGTAATTGGCATCTATAAATACCCACGTGCCTCTTCATTAATAAACATGTTGAGAGTTGAATTGAGTATTGAATTGGTGAGCCAATTGTGAGGGGAACTTTATGTTCTAACGTGTGTTTAAACAAGGCCATTAGTGCGTGTTTACATACAGTGTCGGAGAGAAGACCATTAGAGTGTCTTGATGTCACAGTGTCTAGGAGAAGGCCAATAGTGCGTCTGTTACATACACCTATCGTGAGTAATCGAAGCCCCTGAGTGCGCGATTATTCACAACCAAAAATAGACAAAAATACGATCCGTCGTCATTGGTGCTTTCATTGAGAGGTGCTGATCGAATTTTTATCTGTCTATCTTTTTTCTTTTTTCTGTTTTGTCTTTTGTTGAGGGGGCCGAATTTTTGTTATTTTTTGGTTCGAAATTTTTCGAATTTTTGTTCAAATTTTTCATAATTTTTCGTGAGTCTAAAAAAAAAGTGTCATGTTGATAGTCTTTTGTTATTTTTCTAGAGTCAAAAAAAAAAAAGAAGAATATATCTTACCCACCAATGGATGAGTTAGATTGGGAAGATCTTGAGATGTTGGAAGGTTTATAAAGAGAGCTCACACCATGGGAGAAAACATATCTAAATGAGCTTCATGAGCGAAGGAATATAGAAGACTACGAGAGACAACTCGTAGAAGCCCGAGAAGCAATGGTGATCGATGCTCAAGACAATGGTGATGAAGGTGCGCTAAATTTTCTAATCTTTGAGGACAAGGAAAGTCTTGAAGAGGAGGGGAATGATACGGAAGTGGTCATCAACC